AGCTAAAATATACGCGTGTAAAATTTTATACATGAAGTTGCATGAAGTCTTATTACAAATTCGTCAATGCTCTCAAAAGCTTTTCCAATGCAATCAAAGATCTAAAATGGCAGCTTGCCATCTGATTTGACGAACTAAGCAGAGTAGCACAGTGCATAATGGTTCATTAAAATGTTTTAGTACTTAATATATGCTTCACGTTATTAAGCATTACGTTAAATACCTATTGGCAAGCATATCATTTATTAAAGTAAAATAGTAAACAAAGTATGTAATTATAACATATAAGCTATATAGGCGTAAATTATAGCGTAGTCTCCAGGCTGTGTGATTCCCGTAGGTGAAAGAATTATCATGAGCGGATCAGTATTTCCGAAGGATGCTCTAGAAAGAAGTTTTACAATATAAAAACTAGTTTAAATTGTAAATAATCTACCAAAGTGAAGTAAAACAATAACATTAATTAATATTTCATATCATTTAATTGTAACTTTGAGTTATAGAGGAATAATATTTCCTGCCACGGGTATTCTTAGTAGTAATTATTAGGTTGTTATTTGTAAATTTTAAGGAATAAGTAAACATTATTAGTAATATTATGAAAAACTCGTGAAACAATTCAGCTCCAAACAATCATTCTCGAAAAATCGTGTTAATAATCTTAACTAATCCGAATTTTTCTATTCTCAATTCCTAGTTAGTTTATTTATTAGGGCACTATTATAACAATTTTCATAGTACGAGGAAATCATTAGTTTGCTCGTACAATAGGTTAGCCAATTAGGACGTCCACTTAGACTTCGAGTACCATTGAAATCACTTTTGTTAGGTATTGGAAACGTGTTGAGCGCTGCGCTGCGATTTTTGCTGCTCAACGAAAAGCCACGAATAGGCAATGAAGCAATAAAAAGATTGCGCATTTGAGAAAAGTAAGATAAAATTTGAATATGTAAACAGAGTATCTCACGAAAATAAATTAAATAATAAATAGAAACACAAAATAAAGCACGAAAAATATTGCACGAACATCATCATTGCACGAGCACGAGCAATTCAGCGTAGTGCTTAGCGAATTAGGTCTATGATTGCAAAGTATAAGCAATTTTCGTAAATATCCGATCAGTAACCAAAAACATATTATCAAGCTATTTTGTGGTAATAGATCGTTGAGTCTTTTTTATATATTGAGAAAAGCCAATGCAGTGCACCCCCAGCAGTGGTGATATTAATAGACTGATCGTGATTATGACAGGAAGGATGTACAAGTCCAGAGAAGCCAAGAGTATTATTAGAGTGTAAAAACCAGCGAGTGTGTAAGAAAATCAAAGACTATTAAAAGGACGGAAGACGTGCGTAGAGATCGTATGTTGTGTAGCTCTCTCTGCCTACTTCGCAAAAAATCCTGCATGAACATATTTCCAGTATATACTATCGCGCACGCCACTAATTTAATTGACACTCATTGATCTCTTCGCGAATTGCGCAAACCCAATTGGTCATGAAATCAGAAAAAGAAAAATAGAGTTAATAATTGAAAACTAGCTCAGACCTCCTCGAAACCAAGCGAGAAACATGAACTTGAATACATGAGCTAAATTGGTAACTTTTTTTTTTGCAGCCTTGAATTGCAAACATCTATTACTATTGTTATAACATTTTTTAAATATTCATTCATTCACATGTTGTTCTTCATTTTTTTTGTGAACTAATGTTATCTTTGACATGGTAAACTATTCTCAAATTACTAAATCGATTCACGGTAATATATTCATGCACAGTGCATATTGCAACAGTTCGCAAGTTCCCCCGCTTCGTAAAGTTAGTTCCAATGAAAAATCGCATCTGCATAAGTATTTTAAGCGAGCACTTACTTACAACTTACCACATAAAATATACTGTGAGGATTTTGCGGTATAAAATGTAGAACTGAGCAGTTTTAAGGTTCCGCACCTCAAAAGAAAAACAAAAGTTTTACAGGATCACTTCGTCGTGTGACTGCCTGTCAATTTGTCTGTTCGTCTGTCTATCTGTCTATAAATACCGTTTTCTAAACATTTTGCGAAGATATTGAGTTGTTTTTTATCAAACAGGTCTGGATTTGGGAAAATATCAAATTATAATATTCTACTGTTTATGCTGGATATCTTAATACGCGCAAGGAAATCAATTTACTTCCAGTTAACCTAGCTAGGTATATATAACCTAAATATTGGAATTTATTACAAAAAATACAAGTTAAAGGAATCAATTAAATAATAATAAAAAGAAGGCATCGCAAGTAAAATAACATATATATTTTTTTGAAGTCCTTGATATTTAATCCTACGTCGATATATGGGGACATTTTCCAACAGCAAAGTTTATATTTTCATTAGAGCCCTATTCGATGCTTACGTAGTTTTAGAACTTCAATAATATTGTACCGGGTCATCTTGGAGGAATTCCGACTTGCAGTTGGCAGATTCCATAAGTTAAGATAATTTTCACGTACGACAGTTACACCTGGTTTAAGATTCGTTAGAAAAATGTGCTATTAATTTTTCTGCGGTATTGTGAATTTATTTTCAATTTGGGTGTTCGAGACTAGCCGTAATTATAACATTAAAAGAGATAAATAATGCTTTTATAGTACCATCATTAGTTAATCATCGTAAAATATGTTATATAAGTGAAGGTTGGGTATTCAGACTCAGACTTTAAAAAGCGTAGAATTACACTTTTGAGAGAGGAATTTTTTTGGAAGAAAGAAAAGGAAAAGAAATAGAATAGGGGATAGAAACAAGCTAGCGACACTAGATACACACAAGGTTGAAAGGAATTAATAGAAAGGAAATGGCACGTAGCTTGTATTGATTGTACAGCGAAGTGCTATTTCAAAGCTGAGTTCTCGATTGGATGTCTTGATTTTTTGTTTGTCTCTGAATGATATTGGGTTATGGGAGCTTGATGACGTAGTTAGCGTGTTCGGTTTGCTATTATGGACGATAAATGAAGGTCTATTATCGGATGAGTGGAAAAATATTATACCAGACTCCTTTGAGATACGGCACTTTAGAACATTGATCCTGGCTACAGACGCAAACACTAATAGTAGTTCGAGTGGTTGGTTATGGCCCATTCGCCCTTTCTGCTTCCACGGGGAGGTCTGTGCGTCAAAAGTAGGGCATCATTATACTGACCTCTGCCCACCGCTGCTGTTATTTTGAAAATTATACTCCGGATTTCAGTCAGAACCCGCTAATTACCACGCTGTTGAGAATTTCAAATTCAGTTTGCAATTGTTGCGTAAACCCCATTCACTTTTGAGCGGTCCCAAACAGGAATCGAAACACAAAAGAAAATAATCCGATAATAGTCTACAATGTTTAAAATTTATCAACGTCACCGTCCGTCGTAAGGTAAAAATTAATTCGCTAACTAATTAACCTTAAACTTTACGAAATTCGACGCCTAAACAACTTTTGTTATTAAGGTCTGCTGCCGTCTTCTTATACCGCACTCTCTAACTTCCAAACTTTGAGAGTAGCTACACTTGAAGGACCTGAATAATATAAAACTTGGTTAAAAACACTCGAATAAGGTTTACAAATGTCAAGCCATGGTAATCTCAGCTTTATTCAACCTTGTAGTAAGACAACAAGAATTTGTTTTATAAATCCTACAGTTCTTAAAAATAAAGATAAACAAAAAACTTTGTGTAGTTTAAAAGAATTCAGCATACAGACAGCAGGAAGTGATATTGTTTTATACTATGTTTGGATTTATAGAGGGACTGACGATATTATACTCGCGCGCTGTGTGGTGTATACACGGCACTTCTGTACGTTGGGTTATTACCACAATAAGTCAAATTTTCGTTTTGATTTTGGTCCTGCTGCTGTTGACTGTATTTTGCGCAGTTATAAACACGAGAGCAGTAAATTTCATTAAATATTATATAGTCAAAACTCTTAGGTCTAGGGACCTTATTATTAGTACATTATTATTATTAATTATATTGGTTGTTAATATTGCAAGTATTAAATCTCTCTCTATACATTCCTTTACATCACCGAAACCGATGATTTACGAGTACTTATAAATTATTTAACTAAATATGTATAATAATTAAATAAGTATTCATATACCCTCACTCTGTAGATTTAATACATCATTTTCTTATTATATAACCTATATTATGAATAAAATAAAATTTAAAAGCGCTATAATGGCTGTTTCCGATATTTTTCCTTAAATATTCAAATGTTCTTCAAAAGGGATATACTTGAAATGATTAAAAATAAAACTTTCCCCTTTACAAAAGTTAAGAGGCTACTTCGAGCAAACACCATATAACAACATTGGCGGTCCAATACAATAAGCGTAGCAAAATAGTGTCATACACATAAATAGCGGTGTTCTACTACAATCATCTAGAAAAGATAGAGCCTGCCATACAAATATATAGTCGGCGGTGTCCAAATGCATTGATCGAGGCAAAATAGTACTATAGACGCGTATAGCGGTATGTAGTTGCAATGATTGAGGCAAGATAGTGACATAGACACATATAGCCGGAGGTGTCCAATTGCATGATGGTGAGGTGGTCCAGGCAAAATGGTGCGATACACGCATATACCCAGCGGTGTCCAATTGCAATGATCGAGGCAAGATGCTATTATACACGCATATAGTGGTGTAACTGCAAATTACGGTACACATAAATAGAGGTGTCGAATTGCAATTATTGAAGCAAAATGGAGCTATACAATATAGTACGTAGTAGTTAAAACTCTACGACAAAAGACACAGTTACAAAACAAATACGTTATTCTTGCTAAATAAAATCACCTTTAACATGGAAAGCTCTTCCCGATATTCATATTCATGAATTTTAGTCGTATTAGTTAAACTAGCGAACAAACATGAAAAGTCATGAATGAACGAAACATGTGTCGGAATCCGTCTCTGGCTTTCACACATTGTTTTTTGGATTGGATCTACACTGAATAGTTTAAGCATGCATGTGATTAACAATATCTGAGCTTGGTTATCACCTATGAGGGAAATCTTCAGTATAAATCCAGACTAAATCAATGCTAAACAATGCATTGCACAAATTTATTTCTATGTACTCATTTATTATTTTGTTTTGAAGTGATGATATAATTAAGTATTTTCTTTCAATAAATCAGTTTTCCAGAGTTCCTCCCTGTTATGTGTGTTGCTGCTTTCATTTATTCTTTTTATTATTCCAACAATATGTGTAAGTTTAGGTAAACGAATGTGTGAGAATGAATGCCCGCTGCACTGTGAACGGTTATAAGAACAGGGCGGCTTCACACTTGCAGAAGCGATGACGCTCTGTCTACGCTGCGTTTCTTTTAAATTATCCAACAAAGTTTGAACATTGTAATATAAAGTATCAAAGTGATTTCGTATTTTTAATTGTTCATCTTTATTAAAACTGCCATCTTTTGCTTGAAGTTTTTCAATTTTAATTTGAACTTGGAAAAAACATTTTTTAATATTATTTAATTCCTTTGAACGAACACGAAATTCAGATTCGTTGTCAGAACAATCCACTGTACGTTGAATACTATTAATGGCTAAATCACGCTCGAAAATAAGTTGTTCGATTTCCATTTTTATAAATCTAATGTAGGGAGGTATAATAACTGATAAAAATAATAGAAAGTTACGCTAAACACTTTCTGTAAATATTTAGAGTACCTATATAAATATAAAGCTTGTTGATAGTTAAACTGTAAGTTATTCTATATATTTATGTAAGATAGTCGTTAATTAACAAAATATTAAAACGTAAGAAAATAAATATATATAGATATATAAGCCGGGTATATATTGCAACCGCTAAGCTTAGATGGTGAGACAAGTACGTAGCACTTAGACCGCTAAGGTGGTTAAAGCACGAAAATGCTAAAACGCTAAAATGGGCACTATGTGTAATACAAGAACCGCTAAATTGAATTCTGTACTGAAATACAAGAATTGCTAAAAGTGTGAAAATATGTACCTAGCACGAAAATACTAAGTAATAATTGTTATGTACGTAATAAAAAACAATTACGATTTTTCATAAAAAAATGTAAAAGTTAATGTATGTCGAGTGTAACTAGCCTTATGTTATGGCTCCGATCGAGACGGCTCGCGACGCGACAGCTTGGTTCGGCGCACGGTAATGGCGAGTATAATACGAAAAAAATATATGAATTTATTACACGCAAAACGATGTAAAATGTATAAAATTCGGTTGATATCGTAATTATAGAACCTGAAATGCACTCACACACTGGTATTGTCGAAAAATAAATACGTTAAATGCGTAAAAACTTGAATGCAAGTTGGTCGGATGGCGGTAGGTACCGCGTTTTATGAACAAAGAAATTTGTACAAAAGTGACAAATTATATTGGGTTGGCACAAAAGTAATGAGACACACTAGAAAAATCTATAACATTTCCTTTTTAAAATCAATTTTTTCGATAATATTCTAGAATGTTGTAGAACATTCTAGGTACTTCTGGTGTAGGGTATATAAAGCCGCGCTCGCGATTTGTTTAGTCAGTTTGAAGAAAAATGGACGAGCGACAAGTTCGAACACTATACTTATACGAGTACTTGTTAGGCCACAGTGCGCGGGCTGCGGCTGACAATATCAACAATGCATTAGGCGCTGGAAGTACAAGCCATGCGACGGTGTCCCGATGGTTTGACCGTTTTAAATCAGGAGACAGGAGCCTTGAAAGTCAGCCACGCTCAGGGCGACCACCCGCAGTGAATGATGACGATTTGCGCCGCGAACTGCAGTTGAATCCGGATGCTACCACTCGTGAATTAGCGGAAGCACTTAAATGCAGTCACCACGCCGTGGAACACCATCTGCATGAGCTTGGTTATCGAAAAGTTTTGGCTCGGTGGGTACCGCACATCCTTACAGACGCCAGTCGTGCAGTCCGTGTCGCTATCTGTCAGTCACTTTTGCTGCGACCCTGACGTAAAGAGTTTTTGTCAGATCTGGTTACTGGAGATGAATCATGGATTTATTACGAGAACGATACACGTCGTGCTTTTTGGCTGCCTCGAGAAGAAACGCCACCAACTCAACCGAAGCCGAGTCAAAAGAACCGCCGAAAAATTCTGCTTTGCTGTTTCTGGGATGCGCAAGGCATACTGTTTTATGAGCTATTACACAATGAAACTATAAACGCTGACAAATATTCAACCCAGCTTACCAAATTATCTGCCGCTATCAAGAAAAAACGACGAAGACGAGTCAATGTAGTTTTACTGCACGATAACGCTCGACCTCACGTCGCATCTGTGGTTCGCCGGCAGTTGGAGAACTTGGGCTGGGAGACGATACCCCACCCACCTTATTCCCCAGACCTCGCCCCATCAGACTATCATTTGTTTAGAGCCCTGAAACAGCATTTGCGGGGTAAACAATTTAATGATTTCTCTGACGTAGAGGCGGAGTTGAACAACTTTTTCGAGGCACAGCCATCAGAGTTCTGGGCAAAAGGCATCCAAACTTTGCCGGATCGTTGGCAAGAAGTCTTAGATACTAATGGTAATTACATCATTGACTAAACTTTTTTTATTGTAATAATAATAAAAAAGTAAAAACTTAAACCAAGTGTCTCATTACTTTTGTGCCAACCCGATACTATTTTATGATAAATAAAACTAGCACAAATCACAACAACAGATGAATCCGGTAAAGAAGGAACAACAATTTTTATTATTTTAATATCTCTGCTAACATGGTCTACTTAATGACTCTATTGTTCATAAGAGTACTCATTCAAAACTGTGTTCACCAACATTTAAAATTTAACATTTTTGTATATCATATTGTGTGTGTTATCCGAAAATTTTAAATTATAAACGTTAATTCATCGAGGGTAGTGTTCAAAATAACTGTGGCATATGTTGTGGTATATGTAGCTTTAAATTTTAACGAAACATCCTCGTACTACAAAGGGATCATGCAAATTTAATGGGCTCTCACCTCAATGACGCCTCGTTGCATCCGTTTAGTAGAACTTGGTTTGCAAGATGAAGTGGCTCGTATTATTCAAGAGTTTGGTCACTGCTATCAAAATTTACAAACTAGCGAACTCAAGGAATCCACCAAACCAAATCAAAGATAAATATTATCTTTCCAATTATTATAAGTGACAGATAGCTATTTCGCTATCATATTTTTTTATAATATGTCTGTCAGTAATAATCCTAATGACATTGCGACAAATTCGTCTTTAAATTAGATAATAAGACAATAGAGGATTCCTCTTGCTTGCTATTGAATAGACAAAGTAATAATGGAACCAAGAGTTTATCAGTCATCAATGTGGTGCACCAAAATGTCCAAAGAATGTGGATGTGGAGTAAGCAGTTAGAAGTAGAATTATTCATAAACTGTAATAATATTGATATTTTATGTATTACGGAACATTGGTTATAATTATATTTTTAACTTCAATAATCACCTGGTTGGTAGCTCGTTTATTCGGAAAAACGTAAAGCATAGTGGCGCACTAATTTTATTAAATAAAATGTTTAAATTTAAACAACGTAGAGATATAGTGAGCCGATTGGTTGAAGAAATAATAGAAATTGCCTCATAACTGGACCAGCCGATTGTACTGAGCGAATATAGACCTCTTTCAATTTTTCATTATGATCTTTTTGAAATAGTTATGGATAAAGCTTTCAAAAAGGTATATAGCAGAGGCAAACGATTGGTAGTTGGTGGTGATTTTACCCTTGATTTATTAGGAAACTCCAATTGATGTACAAAACTTGTAAATCTATTTATGTCCTATAATCTTGCACATATGTTTAAGGAGCCCACTTACTCTAGTGGCTGCTGCTACTTCGTCCACATATTTTGACAACATTTTTACTTTCAAAACAGATAATTAAAGAACTACCGTCAAATCATTTTGCACAAATAGTTAGCTTTCCGCATAAATGTACGTTTGTGGCTAAGAGAGACATTACAGGAGTGACAAAAAGAATGAGTCTAATGGAACGTTTTAAAAATCAATAAGATAGTAAATTATGTCATTTGTAACATAAAAGTAATCCCAATGATTTGTACAAAGATTTCTTTGATGTTTATTGTACAGAATTCAACAACCAAAAAAAAATATTAGTTATCCTATAACTTTTGGTATGTGGGCTACTCCAGGAATCTACAAAAGCAGAAAAAAGCTCTATAAAGCTCTATAAACCAAGCTCTAGATCAATACATTATAAAGAGACAAAAATGTCTAAATCCATAGTTATGAAGTTTCCTAATCAATGTTTCATGAAAAACACAGTCAAATTCCTTAGATAGGTCACAGATAACACCTAACCCATCATGCGATTTCTCCCAGGCATTTAAAATTTCTTGTATTAACTCAACACCGGCTTCGGTTGTTAAGCGACCCCTTGTAAAACCTAATTGTTGTCGATTCATAAGGTTTTTCTTTTTATTAATCTTAATCTTTATAAATATTAATCCTAATCTTATTAATATTAATCCTAATCTTAATCTTTAAATTAAAATCTGTATTCCGGGTTTTTTTTCTCTTCCAGTTTCACTATTTATGATATCCACGTAATTTTAACTTTATCTTTACTATTTTTAATTTTTGCATTTAAATAATTACATTTGGCTAAACGACACACTTTTTTAAATAATTTTGAGTAATTTCGTACATATTCTTTGAAGTCATCAATTGTGTTATAATTACGTTCATCATATAAATTATCCAGCAACTGGATAGGTGATTGGACTCAAAATTATCCAGCAACTGGATAGGTGATAGCTTCTAAACTCATTATATATCAAAAATTATCTTGTTTCCATTATTATTAAATGGTTATGTTATCATTATAAGACCATAGTTTTTTTTTGTCTCTTTATAATGTATTGATCTGGTAATTACATGTTTTTTTTTGTGAATCTCATTACTCCTATTAGAGCTGGTAAGTTTCTTGCTCGTTCTTCTTGTCAGCCAAAAGACGTCCTGAACGAGTGGTAGGGAAAAAAATGTTGGACGATTCAAAAGTACATTTAAGAAGTCTATTTGCATAAAGATTATTTTGACCTTGACTTTACACAGTATAGAACAAAATCGCTTCCCGCTGTCTCTACGCTTAGACATTTTAGACTAAGGAACGGATTTTAGTGCGGTCTTCTTCAGTTATACAGAAGATTCTAAAACTCGAGAATAGCCGAGCTGATTTAGCTGCCTTTGGTTTTAAAATGTTTGTCTTAGTCTATGGAAGGTTTAACGGTGACATAAAATATGCAGTGGCATATAGTTACGTAATATATTTGTTTCGTTAAAACTTGGGAACAGTTGGGCCGATTTAGCTGATTTTGGTTTGGAAATGTTTGTCTTAGTCCGTGGAAGGTTTAACGGTAAGAGTAGATATGAAGTACGCAGGGACACATAGTTACTTAATATTTTTGTCTAGTTAAAATTCGTGAACAGCTGGGCCGATTTAGCTGATTTTAGTTTTAAAATGTTTGTCTTAGTCCAGGGAATGTTCAAAGGTACAATTCGCAATTTGTGCCAATTTTCTCGTACCTCTATCGAAGCTAAACAATTTAGTCTCTTTTATCGTCATTAAATATACTGATATTTATTATAATGATACATAATAAATTAACCTGTTTTATAAAAGTTGTTTAGTTTATTTTGTGAAACAGAAAGGCCACCAATTACACATATATTCAATGGCCTTGTAAGCAATTTAATGTTGATTATACTATAATTATTTTAGGTTGCTATGGATGGGGCATGTATATAAAAAAGCCAATGCGGGCTGGAGGGTATTACTTTTGTAAATGCAGCGGAGACCAACGGGTCAATGTGTTGAGATAATTTGGTCACCCATCCCGTGACCGACCATTGAAAAGTTGCTCAACAACAACGATCGCGGAATAGGTACCTTTTGAAGATTTTGATCATGAAAAGTTTTTGTCACTGAATGAAAAATTAAATGTCGATTCAAGTACGAAACCTAATAATTATCACGCCAATTACTCTAAAAAGTCTTACAAGGCTACTTTACATTATTTTTTTTTCTTTCCTTCGATTAAAATTTCCAAGTTAATAGATTTTTCTTGTGAACAAAGTGCTGTATAAAGTCCCATATTATGGAAATTAGATCCTAATAAAGAAACCCGCCAATGTTTTCTGAGATTTTTTTCCGTTTATCATGCCTATATTTTAAGTTGTATATTTTTACGCGACTCCAAAACTTAATAAATTAATCTGTATGTGATTTCGTTGGCGTTATACTTATTAAAGTTAGTCTACATCGGCTTCTAAATACGTGTGTTAAATTATGTAGTTTAGTATGTCTGTATGTTTCTCCACGTCTTTCTCGAAAATGAGACATCGGATCTTTTATTTATTATATTTAAGTAACATCAAACACTTATTTACACATGCTTTACCAGAATAACTGGCGATGGCTTATTCTAAGGCCAAGGGATATATAAAGCGCAAATATATTTAAAATTTATAAAAAACGTATAACCAAAGAGTTTAAACGCTAACTGCGCCTCCGCTTACCATCAGGTGGAGCGCAGTCATTTGCCCTCCAATTTATATAAAAAAAAAAAAACTG